TCCAGCAGGACAATGACCCTAAAAACACAACCAAAGTTAACAGTGAAGTAGGTATTAAAATGCCTTACTGCTGTTTTAAACCAACTGTATTAACAGTCACTTTTCATTTCAGTTTTTTAAAAGGAGTTTGGAGATCAACATCTTGGTATAACCTGTAGTTTGACCTAATGTGTGGTTGACTATATTGCTCTCTTGAATAAAATAGATTAGTAAAATGTGACCTCTAGTGGACATCCATTGGCAATTACTTTAAGAATATCCAAACCATGAGAATCTGAATGAGCAATTATTCTTCAAGCTATATATCAAACATTATACAAAGTTAGATAATTGGTCCATGTGGCAGAATGCTAAGATTTTACTCTAAAACTAAATTGTCCATATGACTTCTGGATCGAAAGAGAACTCTCTGAAAGCTGACTTGAATAAATTTTTGAAGCAGAACTACACAAAAGTCAGGGAAAATCAGAGAAACTTTGGGCAGATCATGGGTTGTTAATTACCATATGATTTACCACTGCATATGCCAGGTGTGCGCTGCCACCTTTTTGACTATTCAACCCCCAATCAGCTCAACTGGGGTTTGCTATGTAATGCCTAACTGGGCAGTATAGGTTATTTGCGGGTTAAACAACAGTCAGGATGTGAGCACCTCCATCTGCTGGCCTAGCATCTGAACAACCACTTGGGTTGTTGCAGGATTGGTCCCAGACCCTCCTGTAGCTCTCAGGCTCTTGATTGAGCACCAGTTGCGAGTCCTGGTGAAAGAACAGAAGTGTGAACTCCTCCTTCCAGAAGCTGCCTCAGCAATAGAGGTTACTTGAGTGTCGCTATACCTTCATCCTGCTTGTCTGATCCTGTTCCTATCTTGCTTCCCATGCCATGCCATGCCTGAATCCCATCTGGTTTCCTGTCCCAAGGTACCTGCTTATCTTGCCTTGCTCTATCATCTCTGGTTATTGACCTTTGGCTTGTTTGCTACTGTGTTCCTGCCCTGTTCTACTCCATAGCTCTGTTTCCTAATCTTGGACTGTTTTGTGACTAGGACTCTGTCTTTGCTATTGAACTTGGGAGTGTGTTTGCACTCAGTCTTGCCTTGGTCCCTGCTGCTTCCATCTGCCTTGTCTCCTGCCTCCTCCATACCTGGGCACTGACAACAACCCACAATTAAACTAACTGCTAATCAACTCCTAATCTGCAACATTATATGCAAACCAGGACTGTGTCTGAATATCAGGAAACAAAAAGGTTACTGCATTTATTTGGGTCAATGCTGTTATGTTCCAAAATAATTTGAAATGGGGCAGAGACATTTCAATACCAAAGAAAGCTGCCCCACACAGAATCAGACCATTGATGTTCCTTGCTCAGTTTGAGAACAGAGGTGAGACAGCCCGGGATTTAACCCTAAGTGGCACCCTGGACCTGGTGAGACACTGTGAGTGTTGTTCTGGGTAAATTGTTGGAAAACAGTAAAGATAAAATAAGCATGCATGACATCTTCTGCTGTTCAGGGTTGTGTGAACATCTGAGTAGGGACAATCTGGTAGACATTGTTACTTAGCTTCCAAAAAGCTTCTGACAAAGTTCACCAAAATCTGAGCAAACTTTGCAGTTATGGAGTAAGAGGACAGGTTCTCTTATGGCTAGATAACTGGCTAAAGAATAGAATGAAGAATGATCAGTTTTTGCACTGGACAGATATAGTTGACTCCTGCAAAGATCTGTATTTAGACCTGTCCATTTTAATTTGTTCAGGAATGATCTGGAGCTAGGGGACCAGTGGGGTGGCCATGGTTGATGGCACCAAAATATTCAGATAGTTAAAAATAGAAGGATTGCTAAGAGCCCCAAAGGGGCTTCAAAATGGCAAATTTGTCTGAGGTTATATTGTGAGGCTAAAACTTAGAGGAACCAATTCTGAATGACCCTCATTAATTGGGGGAATGGCACTACCATGATAGTCATAGCAATAAGGCCATTGAAGGGTACAGTCCAACACCTGAGCAATTATACCAAGTCCTGTAGAGTTTGTACCCAATCTAGGAATAGGCAAGTTCAACTTGAAGTAGAATCCAATATGGCCCCAGTAAATTTGATAGTCTGAATGGGCCAAGTGCATGCAGAAACCCAACTGAATGCAAGGGCATTGGACAGCTCATTTTTTAAATTCCACTGTTAGGAGCCAGTTGTCCAGATATGGGCAAACCTATATGCCTTTATGTGCAGAGGAAGGCACAAACAACTGCAACAACTTGGTGAAAATGCTTGGTGCCGTTGACAAGTCACACAAAAGTACATGTAATTAGAGTGCCTCAGAACTGTTTGCAAAGGGGTGAAAATGTTGGTTAGACCTTTCTATGGTGATGTGAAAATAAGTGTATTTGAGATCTGTGGAGACAAACTAGAAGCCAATATGCAACAGAGGCAGGACCGTAGACAGCATGGTCATTCTAAATCTTTGGGGCAGTAATATAGGAATTAATGTCATGTTCCATGGGGAGGCAGTAAAATAATGGGAGTAGAATTCACTGTATTGGTATCAAGTAGGCACCTTGGAAATGGCACCTTTAGATCGCAGAGTTGATCTGCCTGAAAAGGGAAGGAGGACACTAAATCAATGCAGTAATCCCATACAATAGATAATACCCATATATCCATTGTAACTGCAGCGTAGGCTGATAGGAAAGATGCAATTCTAGCTCTGAAGGTAGGTTGAGAGGCAGAAGAAAAAGGAGGAATCAAGTGTGCTGCTTGCAGGCCTTGTTTTCCTCTTGCAATCGAGATGAAACTAGGGAGGGGGGCAAGTATTGCCTTCTAAATGCTGGTGGTTGCTGAGGATGGCAAGATTAATCACTGTGATGTCAGTCTGAGGAAAAAAGGAGAGTTGAGACCATACTAGGAATCAAATCAGGAGCACAGAAGATTGACTGGTACCCATCTTTATGGTAGTGGCTCTTGCTTTCTGCATGGAACCCATGACCTTGTGCATTTTAGAACAAGGCCCTTTCCATTAAAAGGCAGGTCTTCCAATTCCTAATTTAGATTCTTAAGTCAAAACAGAAAATCATAGCCAGACATGTCTTCGTAAAGCCACTGCCTCCATTATAGCTTTGGCGTCACAGTATGTCCGGTGCCTGCATATATTCAGCTGTTGCTTGGATAAATGAAGGGTCTCCGACTACAGTACTCTTGCCAGTACTTGTCATCTAGGACATGATTGCACAGTGACCTGATCTTCTCCCACAAGAACAGCTGTTACTTGATGTGTTGGCTTGATAGTTTGCTACTCTAAGGCCAAATTCTGCAGATGAGTTGGTATGTCTTTTCATAGCATCCAGGCACCTACCCTTCTGGAACATGAGGTGGCAATGCAGGTTAAACTGTTGAGCCACTGATCTTGCCAATCAGAAAGCCGGCAGTTTGAATCCATGTGGCAGGGTGGGCACCCCTACTCCTGCTCACCCAGGAGCTTGAAAGTGTGAGTACACAAATGGGTACCCACCTCAGTGGGGAAGCTAGTGACCTGTGTGGAAAGTGTGTGGACCAGCCCCATGTTGGACCTGCAGCAGCAGTGGCAGCAACAGCACTGGAGAGAGACCAGAGGCACCGACACTCCCGCAGACTAGTGCTCGCTGCTGTGTGCGCGCAAAGCTGGCTCGCCCCTTGTGGTGGCATTTACTTTCCTACTCAGTACTGAACAGAGCCACCAAGACATTCTGCGACCTGAAGTGGAGAATAAAAGAAAAGTCACCTCCATTCCTAGTTAAACTGTGCAATACCCAAAACTGGTAAAGTGATTTTGGCACATGAGGAGCAAAATCCCACGTACATCTCCTCTACTCCTGGTAAGTAAAAATAGAACAAATAACCATTTGCTGCTGCTTCCAATATTGGGTGCCTGAGGTGGCTGCTAAGGGCAGGACCAGGCCTGGTAGTTATGTCTGCTGAGATGGTTTTAAAAGGTAATTAGACAAGTTCATAGAAAGTCATAACGGCTATATATTAACTCCAGTATCAGAGAAAGAACACTTCTGAATACCGTATGCATTGCCTTTTTGTGACTTCCAGAGGAAAACCTAACTAGACAGACCTTTGCTATGGTTCAGTATAGTTCTTATGCTATTCTGTGATGGATTTGCAAGTTGTAGTGAACCCTGTGCAAGAGAATGCACAGAACCTAAACAGGTTTCTTGCCATTCAAACAGCATTGCTCATGCTACATAAGATATAAATGTGGAGGAAAAATGCTGTTCATTATGATCTGGTGTTCTGCAAGTAAGTAAATTAAATCCCTCTTATTTTTGCTAACACTTAACAAAAGTTTGCATTTTCAAAAGCTCATGCAGCATAATTGTCCTATTTAACTTTATGAACATTTTAAAACCAATTATTGAACTGTGTTCAGTGCATTTTTTAAAGGTCCCCTCCAGCAGTCAGGAATCCGGCACACCCGAGGGCATTAGGCACTAACCTCTGTGGTGGGTCTTTCCATGTAATTCAAATAGGTAGCATACAACATTAAGTCTTCTCTGTGGAGACGTATGAGACCAGTGCACATTACCAGCAGTAAAGGAATACTGTTAAGCCAATACTAGCTCCTCCCTCCCCCAGGAACAAATTTAGTGTTTTGCCCAAGAGGGAGGGATGATACAGTGCTGCCATCTATAAATGAGGACTATCACATAAAATATGTTTACAGTGAATATGTTTAAAGCTAAGGACTTAACCAGAGATAAGGAAACCTCAAAATAACTGCAGTGGTTCTTCTCTCCTTTCATGATGCTTTCCAGCTGGTTCTTAGTGCTGAATTGCTAGCAGAAGTTTGATGTATCTAAACATTATTTTCCACAGCACATTTTCTATTGAGCATTACTGTCGATTGTCCATGCATTAGCAATTTGGGTTACTTAAAAGAGGAAAAAAGAAGTTATAGAAATACAATATTAATCAGGCTAAAAGCAAATAGTTGTACTGCATACATGACAAAGTTCCATTGGTTATTTGCTATATAGAAATCATTCAGTTTTATATTTGAATTATTCCAAAACTGATATTACAATATTGTAAACAGAAGATAGGTTTTCGCATATAAATTCAAATACATACCAAGTTCATGGCAACTGTCAAGTACAATACAGACATTTCCAAGGTGACTGTACCATTCAGAGTGGAGTCAGTTAAACTCACAACAGTTCTAAAAACTTTATAGCAGAATCCAGGGCATCTTTAAAGAGGCTTGAGAGATAAGACAATTCCCCTTTTGTGTGTGACAGAATTGTGAGAGATATTGGATCAAAATGTTAAATATAGTTTTTTTCTCAATTGGAAAACTGAAATGTGTATTTTTTTCATTTGTGCTTTTAATGTTTACAGCTATATTCTATACTCAGGTGTATTAGAGTTAGCTGTAGAAACTATTCACACAAGTAAAAACCATATTAAATATAGTACCTGTTACTGTAGAATGATCAGCCTGAAGGGAGTATTTCCTAAGCCTTTAATTTAACTCCACTGAACTGAGGTGGAAAGAAATCCTGCCAATTGGCACTAGTATAGATGCATTAGCACTTGGCAGCCCATTTCACATCAACAAATTAGAAATACTAATCTTCATTTTCAACTTAATTCTGGCTTGGTGCATTGCAAAAATTGCTTCCAAGGCTACTAGGTTAGCAAAATAAATTAAAATTAATAATCAAAGAGTGGGAGGAGTCTAAGTAACAATGAGTAAAAGCTTCAATATTTCCCTTGCTAAGTCTTCTGTCTGATTAGTTTCTGAATGCCAATCATAACCTTTTTTTGGGAAGTTCAAGATTTGCAATCCAATGCTATGTGGAAAGTTAAGCCCTTTGGAATCAAATTGGTTTTACTCTCAAATGGGTTGAGAATTAGTTTTGCTTTCAATAGCCAAAAGAATAGAACAATAATTCCACTTCTTGTTTAAGTTTGATTACTTCTTATGGGGTTGTCTTTTGGTATCTGTTGGCTCACAAGTGTAACATTTAAGAGTATTTAGTCTAAGTGTATTTTAACTGAAGTTAGTGCTTTTCAGCTTAATTTTAGTTATTAAGGGTCTGTCAGTTAACTTGTGAAGGCCTTTTAATCAAGTACTTTGTGCCCTTCTGTGCTTAAATTATCATTGCTGCTTAGACTTCCATTAGCTTGGGGTGGGGACAGTAAAGTCTACACAAAAAGTTATTGCAATCATACAAGGGTGGGTATGGCAAGGGTGAAATACAACAAATACTATGATGCAATTTTACATTTATTAAACTACAGTTCAAAGCACAAATTTACACATCCTAAATACACTAAACATAGCTAATGAAGTCACACTTGTTTCCCACTGACATTTTATTTATCTGGGGGAAAGACAACTTTACAAGACTTTCTAACAGAAATCCTTAGTATAAAAACTGTACTTGTATGTAAACTGTTTAATAGAGAACCCAAGTGATGGGTTTCCATCTCAACTAAGTCATCCATTTTGTTGCATATTATTTAAATGCTGAGGGACTGAGTGATCCAACATGTTTAAATCTCTATTATTTAACCCTTACTCCCCCAGGAAATTATAGTTGTTGTTAGTTTTGCCTGGTCCCAATTGATTTCAAGTTTCAAAAATTCATTCAAGGTTGTTTCATTTTCCTTCCAAACTGGAATGTTGTGACCAGACAAGACTACAGACGTGCAACTGCAAGGCTAAATGAAACATTAATGCTTGTTTAAGCTGCAACAGAAAAGCGGTCTTCAGGGCTCAGCTGAATGCAAGAAGGCACGAAGAAGAAATTCTTCATCAGTGTGTCAGAGGTGAATCCAGCGTCTTGCATTTCACACCTGAACAGAAAACACAGGCAGATATTCAGGCAAAATACTGGAAGAAAACAATACATTTCACTCTCCAAAATGCATTCAGTCTGTTCCTATTTTCCATACTATTCTGCAAGCGAATGTGACCAATTAGACACATTAAACCGTCTAATTTTAGTTCTTTCCCACATTTTATGCTATCAAATCATTAAAGGGAAGTTTGGAGGTCAGATTTTTTGTATATATACAAGAAAGACTTTGAACAGTATAGAATTCTTACAAGCTTCAGCTTATTATCATCCAATTACGTAGCAGATATAAATAATAGTATTATAAAAATCAGCAGTCGGCAAGGACTTGATAAACTGAATTCACAGATCCAGATCATTCTGTTCCTTTTACTAAAAGGTAAACTTTTCATTCACAAGAAGATCCACGACTGCCAGCATTCTCTAGCTTGCATGGCTATCTGGGGAATGCTGAGAGTGATAGGACCTTATTCTGTCTAAACTGTGTAAGACTTACCTAGAGTCTTAATGGCAGAATATGCCTTGCCAAATAGCAACTGGTCAAGACAAGCAATAAGAAACTATGCTGGGTGTGACACTGCCGAGAAAGCAGCACTTGCAAGTACATTGATTGGCCACAGTGCCAAGCCTCCTAAAGCAAGACCCATGTATACTGTTTCCATGAGTCACTTAAACTCTGTGGATAGTCTTTTAAAGTTCTGTCCTCCCAGAAAAAAGCACTGCAGCATTAAAGTGACTGCATTATGAGAGCTAAACTACTTCATGGCTATATCATAAACATGAACATACTGCTTTTTTTTTAAGACAAACCTGTAAGGCCAGCCAGACTTGCGACCTGTTGAGTCAGCCTGTTAACAATCTCACAAACCAAAACCTAAGCATGCAGCTTGTACATAAGCTTTTAATATGTCCAGCACATGCAATGGTTATTCTATTTTGTACCTTTAACCTATGAGATTAGTCCAGCTAAGAAAAGTTTACTTGTCCAAAGATGAACCAATGAGCTTCACAGTGAAAAATTAAATATGGGTTTTCTTGTATCCAAATCTAACACTCTAGCCACTGCTCAGTCACTCTAAACACCAGATGACTGTAAAAAACATTACAAACTTACCAATTACTGACTGACATTATGTAATAAACTGGTGGCCTTTGGAAGTCATTAAAAACAGATTGTTCACCCAAAGTACCAGAACCCATATTCTCAAAGAGCAGCCAGTCTCCAACATTCAGCTCAGGGAGAAGACAGTTTTCCACAACTTGATCAAGCTCATCACAGGATGGACCCCAAAGGCTGCTTACAAACAGAGGCTCATCTTCCTTGTATTTCTGCACAGAAACAGTTATGACAATTAGATTAAGGTATATGGGGCTATCACTGAACACAGTGGCCAAATACTGTAAGAAGGCTATGTGAGGATCTTAACCTAAAGTTAATAAAGATGTGCTCACCTTGTGAACCTCTGGAATAGTGGTCAAATTCTCAGATAATTTGCTTGCAAAAGAACCATAAACACCATCGTTTATGTAGTACATGAAGACTGGTTCATCATCTTGGCTGTGTTCCACTGTAAAAAAATGTAACAGTATCATAGTAAATTCCCCTTTATTGTCTTAAAATGCAATACAAGATTTTCAGGAGCACATGAAACATACACATGAACAAAAACATGGGAAAGGAGTGCTAGATAAAAGACAAATATATGGGAAATTGTTTAAGCTGAATGACCTTGCAGCATTTTAAATATGAGTGTTCTTCACTTAACACAGTCACAATATAATGATAATATAAGCATGCCTTCAATATGATGAACAAGGCAAACCCTATGTTAAAAATTTAAAGTGTATCCTACAGGCAAAACTTTAAACTAGAAACAGAATGTTTTTAAGGAAACAGAAGTATGACCTTGTTCCTTGTATTTCCTCATTTGAGGATGGTTCTGTAGCTATTCATCAAACCAAATAATCTTTAAAAAGGACACCAGTTCAAATATTGGAACAATCTGACATCTCAAGGGAAGAGGATGGAGAAAAAAGCTAGCTAAGCAATCTGGTATTTAGCTCAGGTATTATTTAATTTCTATACTGCCCCTTAGCTGGAGCTCTCTTGGCAGTTTATGAAAATCCATAATAAAATGCAGTTACAAATACCATGCAAGGTAATTCTTCATGCAACTGCCACCACAGATTTAGACTACCATCTTGCCCTGAGAGGAGAAATTTCGTTTCCCTGGGGCATGACTTTAACATTTTATATTTTAGTAATGCTTACTGTTTTAATGTTTTTACATAAAATTTTCTGTGAGTGTTGTGTAAAAAGCACTACTTAAATAAAATCTCAGAACAACCTGAAATAAAAAGCAACCTATTTAATCATAATTTTTCACTATGATCCAAAGTGCATGTTTCTCTGCAGTCTGGATGATTTAAATGTGCAGCAGATTTTGCTTACTTTTAGAGAGAAGAGGGTCATCAGATTGAACACCTTTCTTTGCAATAATATTAACTGCTAGAGTAAATGCAGATGAAACATAATAGCATCCAGGCTCCGCAATCACATTTACACCAGATTCTTCAGGAAAGTAGATATCGAGCAATGGACTGACAACATGATTAACCTAGAAGATAAAAAGGGAGTTGTTTGACCTTTTCCTGCCAAGTTTTTCTACCAAGTAATGAAAACTTCTATTAAATGTTAAGTCTACTTTTAGGCTAATTCATGCCATGCCAAAAGCTAAAGGAAGAAATAACACATTATGATCAAATGTATTATCTTTCAACTATGTATTACATCCAATGGCAGAGGCAGTATGGTTCTGAATACCAAATATTGGGAGGCACAAGTGGGAGTGACTATTGCAGAAATGCCCAGCTTGTGGATTTTCCATAGACAACTGACTGGCTAATATGGAAACAGAATTCTAGACTAAATAAACTTTGGGCAGTTCCTGAACAGTTGCTCTTATGTTCTTAACAATACAATGAGTTCTCTAACAGCCAGTGTGGAGTAGTGGTTAGGATGTTGGACTAGAACTGGGAAACCTGGGATCTAATCCCCACTCTGGCCATGGAACTCACTGAATTACTCTGGGCCTAATTTATTTCACAGGGTGGTTGTTGTGACAATAAAATGGAGTGGTGAACCTTGAAAGCCACTTTGAGTTCCTTGTAAGAGGAAGAAGGGAGAATATAACGTAGTAAATATTACTACAGTGTATTGGGTCTCTTCGCCCTTGTCCAAGCTTTGCAGCTTTATCTCCCAATATTCCTTTCGTATTCAAAGCAACCATTTTAAGCACCTGAATAATTTCAAAGAGTGGTGGATGAGTTTTTATTAAGACATTATATGTGGTTCCATATGTGTTAATGTTCAATTATGGGGTGTTGTATGGTTGATGACAACCCTAGAATAGCTCATGGATCCCACAGGGTGACTTGATTGAAAAAAATAAATGTGAAACAGTCTGACAACCCAGCTACAATAACAAACCATGGTGAGTTATTGTATTACCAATGGCAAATACAAGCATCAAGTAACTGAAAATTACAAGCAACATGTACCAATTCTACAGGAAAAAGCCATTATAGGCATTCATACCTCTTCAAGATCAAGATCATAATCTGTGAAGCCACCACCAATGTCCAACATGTTCATGGTAAAGCCAAATTCTTCCTAAAATGGAAATGCAAAAAGTTTGTTGGCCACAAAAACATCTGGGTTTTTTTTTTCATTTATTAATATCACACAAACTATCTGGTTTCAGTGTTTCATAACAGAAAAAGGCAGTTCATGTTTTATTTCAAAAATAAATGAACTACCTTTACTTGTATTTTGGCATTTAGACCCAGTTTGTATGTAACAGCTAACTGCAATATTTAATCCATAATTAGTTGTAACCAGGGCTTTTTTTGTCGTAAAACGCACCGGAATGGTGTTCCAGCAGCTTTTTTTCCAGTGGATTTTATGAAGTGATTTTGAACGGCATAGCAGATCAGCCGCAAACATCATTAACATAGTGCTTGCGGGCTGCTTTTGTGTCTGCTATCTGATAGTGAGATAGTGAGGGCTTGGGACGCTGCTCCGTTGCTTGGCTTGGGATTGGTGTGTGTGGTCGCACGCTGAGTGCTTACTGCCAGTGGCGACATGCGTTCTGGCACCTTTTTTTTTTTTTTTACACAAAAACACTGGTTATAACTATGCAGAAGTGACCTAGCACATTTCCCTTTTTTATAACTTGTGTTATACCACAGGGTTTTCAGTATAGTTGACAGCATTATGTCCAAACTAGGCATGGCTTTCCTGTAGTGCACTGGGGTTTGTTTGTTTGTTTTTTGCAAACAAGGCTAAGAGTTCACGACTTGTGGAAGGTTTAAGATGTGTTGTTCTAAGGCTGGCTTAGTATGATATCCAGACCCAGCTGTCACTTCAGTGTGGGTTGTTTAAAACAGTAACAGAGTCACTTGGCAAGAGTGGCAAAAACACTGTTGGCTGCTGCTCATCATCTTGCTAATGGTGCCACCATCTACCCTCCTCTGCTATCATGTCTGTCCCTTCATCAATACTGCACTGACAGTTGATAATGCCCTCATTGTTCCTGTAGCTTTTTTTTTTTACCCCTGGGCCCTTTCAAAAGGCACAAATAGGTTCAGTTTGTTTCCTTCAGTCCTGCACAAGTGCACCCATTCACAGGACTGCAGCACGGCAAATTTTCTAATTTTATTCAAATGCTTAATTAATGGTTAAATAGGCAGAGCAGAAGTAAGCTGTGCATACTCCTACAGTAGCTACAGCAAAAACTTCTGTCTGGTTCAGCTGCTTCTTTATGAGTTCTCTATTAAGGTAAGAGCCAAAGTAGAAGAGGAATTTAACAGCTGGTATTTCAACATGTTACAAGAGAGGGAACTTGACAAGGCATTTCTAGACATGCAGAAGGCATATCAATGTGCTTGCGTACTTGCACTGGTTGCTGTCATACTGATACAAATGAAGAATATAAACTGCTGTCCTATGAAAGTGAATTGTGAAGGACTGAGGGTGCGTGTTTTTTTTAAGCCAACCCAATTTGTAGAAATTTGAAGGAATTGATTTTTTCAAAAAAATACTAATCCTCTTTGCAAAAAACAAATCCCACTTGAGCAAATTAGAAGAAAAGACTTGCGAAATAGCATTGCCGGCATTAAAATTGCTCAGAAGGCAGTAGTGATCACAGTAGGGTACAAAAGTTTACTTACGGCCATATCAAAGACACAGCGAGCATCAGAAATAGCATGCTTGTATACTTGAGGTTCTTTGCAAGTTTTTGACACGTGAAATCTAAAGAGAGAGAGAGAGATCAATTTGTATAGCTATCAAGATTACTGTTGTAGCAATAGGTGACCAGGTAATAATTGTAGTGGGTTTCCTTTATAAAATTGTATGTAGCAGCATCTCTATCACTGTCAGAAACACAAATGTCATAGCACACGCAACTGTACATCATGTAAAACAATGCCACAACAACCCACTTTTATCTTCTCACTTCTGTATATATAACCACAACTATGGTAGTTACAAATTTTAGTACACAATTTGCTAAAAGTTTAATTCGTAGAATAATAATAATCTCAGACACAGACTGTTCAAGCAATACTTTGACAGTGGGAGTCAATGAATCTATCTAGGAAATAACACATGGGGAATTTTCAAAAAAATATTTTATCTTCCTGGAATCAGGAAGTTCCCACATTCAACAGCAGTTCCTCCTTCAACCATTCAGTCATTTCTCCTTACTCCCAATATACACAGTGGTCATAACCATTTTACTTTCTTAAAAACAGTAATGCTAGATAACCTTTTAACTCTTAAAATTCAACTTTGGAAATTTTTATTTTGAAAAGAGTACGGAAAAACAAGTTTGTTTCCCAGTTCTTTAATTGTAGCCCTCTATACATAATAAAGCCAAGATGACAGGTGACTGTTACCTAGCAGATCAAAGGAAGCTCACTGTGATCCTAAGCAAGCTCATTTCGAGTAGCTCCCACTGAAAGCACTAAGAATGCTCGCTACAAGTATGCACAGATTCAGCAACTTTTACAGATGTGACGAGTAAAAAATGATTATGCTAAAAAAAAAAAAAAACCCTCTTCCTATCTTTAATTCATGCATTTCTGGAAGTTTGCATACATGTATCCTATCAAGCCCCAAGTGTTAGATAAAAAATATCTGCCATGTGTGTTAAAACTGTTTAAAAAGTAATTCAGGGTACAATATTATGCATGTTTAGACAGGAAAAAGTCCTATCATCCCAAGCATTCCTAGCTAGCCATTCTGGTTGAAAAATGCTGCAAATTTTAGACAGCAAAAACTTCTATATGTGCCCAGGTTTACACCTTTAAAGCTTCAAATAAAATGGTTTATTTTATAATGCAACAAATACAAAAGATCCTTTGTGTGTTACACCACACAAAAAACATACATTTACAAATGACTTTTCTACGGTCTATTTCTGCTTTACTAGGATGCCCAACAGAATGAAAACAGGACCCTGTTAAATAGCCCTTTACTAATATATATATATGAGATTTAGCTGGAAGTGTGGTTAAGAAGTTTTATTGGTAGTTTTATGAATATGCTAACATAACATCACAGATTTTAAAAATATAAAATAGTTAAATCTACTGCTTTTCTATGCCAAACTTAAAAGGGTAAAACATCAAAGGGAAGGTGTGGGAGAAGCGACAAGCCTACTCACTTAACACCAACTATTTGGACATTCAGCTCCTTTGCACATTCCATGAGATGCCGACAGTTCTTCAGGGTGGTGCCAAACTTCATGTTCATCTCTTCATCTCCATTAATGTCTTCTGTGGCAATATGAAGTAAGAGCCTAAGAGAAGGGGAAGATGATTGGGGCACAGTTGGTTTACAGCAGCATCAGCACATGTGAAGTCTGAAGACTGTCAGAAGTATGTTGATTATGTTGCCATTACGCCAGTTCTGTCGATGGACGAGTCAAGTGAACCTGACAAACACAATCCTGTACAGAGAGAAAACTAGCAATTAGGGCCTAAAACATGGAGTCAAAAAAGATAAGGGGTTTGGAAATGCAGCAGCTAAGGACTCTGGAATGCTGTGGAAATGCAGCAGCTAAGGACTCTGGAATGCTGTGGAAATGCAGCAGCTAAGGACTCTGGAATGCTGTAATAAAAATACATTACCTTAGATATAATCATGGTCATCCTAAATTCCTCTATTGACTTTTTGAGGTTGAATAAATAAATATCTCTCAGAACGCCTGTGTAACATTCTTAGGACAAATTTATCACTGTTTAATTTGGGAATGGAATACACTTAGCTTTCCACCCCTCATACTCCATCAGGAATGGTACCAGTTGTTTGCCAATTCACACAACTGTCAGGAATGATTGTATAACCAACCTTACCACTGTCACTCTTAGGGTATCCAAAAGAGGCAGATGTTATCACATTTACCCAAGATGTTACCTACATTTTCAGCTATTTATTCTAGTTCCCAGAAGGATTAGTAGCAGTCATGCAGATGTGCCCTTAAACACATGCAAGCTACAACACTGTCTCTTATTCTCTATTTTTTAATACTCCTGAAACTTGATCCAAAAGCTGAAGATCCAGTATACAACCATGTGGGAAAAAACAGAAGATAGCTGACATTTCTTGAAAATGGAGGACAGCACATAAGTACAGTAATGTTTTACAGAGATTGAAAATGGGAAAAGAGGTGCTCAACTGCATCATTCATTTCCTGAATTAACTCTTCTCTCTAGAGTCAGAAAGTCTACTAGCAACTTCTCTCTAGAGCCAGGAGTTGACATGCAGCTTTCATTTTCCACTATTTCAAAGGGACACATACTTACCACTAACTGGCTTATCTGCTTTTCCTCTTTTCATGCTGATGCCACCCCAGTAATCTAGAAGAAACCTTGATGTGCACTGCTGGTGCAGCACCACAGTTCTGGCATGCAGCATATAGCAGACTAGTTTGTACTTGATTTTTTTTTTTTCTCTCTTGAAATACTCTGGACCAGTTTAAGGGATCTTGAGGCCATTCCCACAGATGGTCATCTGAACAAGCATGTGATACATCCATCATGATACCAGAGTCCCAAGCAGAAAATGGAGAATATTATATATAGTCAGGTGTTAATATTTTTACCTACTTAATGTAGGCAGGAACAGCTTCTGAGACAAGGACATTTTAAGGTATCTTAATGAAACATTGTCAGTAAATGTTGGTAAAATCTTTGAAAATAACAGATTAAAACTAGAATGCCAAACCCAGCTAACTAGCACTGGGGTCTAAAGAGAACACACTCTCAAATTCTAAAATGTAAAGAGTTACACATTCAAGTGAGTCCACTATACAAAAAGGTATTTTAGAAATATATCCCTCCCAACTTATATTCCCCACAATGACAAGTAAAATTATGCTTACTTTGCATTTGGATGAGTTCTAGCAATTTTCTTTAATTCTAGTTCATTGTCACATGTCAATGTGTTCACTCCAATTTTTGCCGCATATTTTATCTGAGAGGCTTGCTTGCAAGGACTTGTGAATATAATGTTTTCAGGAGAAATCCCCAAGTCTTGAACCAGTACCATTTCAGCCTGAAAGAATGAAAAAATTAAACAAGGTTAAAAGGATAAGAAAAGTTGTAAAGTAGATTTAGAGATTAAGGATCATTTTTAAAAAATGCATTTCTAAAAGCTGTTCATAGCACAGAATGCAAATATATAATCTCAAGATTTATCAAAAGCAATATAGTTTTAATTTGCAGTCTGCCTCATCCAAATGCTCATAATATTTCACTTTTGCTTGCTGTCTTCATAAACCAAAAGCCAGCACATTTTTAAGGTGAACAGGTTGAGAGTTCACAAGTGTCTGAAAGTTGCTCATACTTCAGTTTGCCACCATGAACAACACCAAACATGCATGTTGTATCAGAGTACTCTTAGCTGGTCTTAGACATCACAAAGGGCTAAGAATGGCAGGGACATTTTAGGTTTGTTAGACCAATCTTTAAATCAGAGCTTCAAAAGACACACATAAACACCATGAATTAAATGTAGTACCCTATCTACTACAATTTAGTGGTAAATTGCATGCTTTGCACATGTAAGATTTTATTCTTTCTGTCTAGTTACAGGTAACAGGTGATGTGAAAAACTCCTCACCTGAGATACTTTAGAGTTACTGCTAGTCCAAGTAAAACGCACTGGGTTAAATGGATAAAGTCTGACCTGCTACAAGGCAGCTTCCAGATACCAAATTAGCATATTGTGATCAGGGCAATCTACCTGCCCACTCGCATGTGAAGTTTAAAACAGTAAATCTATGATCAAGATTATTTATCCATACTTATTTTAAAACCTAAAAATAGGACATTCGTATTCCATGTACCTGATGAACAATGCAAGCTGTCTTATGAAGATTTTAAAGCATTCGGCCCAATAAAACTTGCTAACAGCACACACAAAACAACAAATCAGCCACTCCACACACAGGAAAAAAAAGGCAATAAAACTGGGAAAACCAGGCTTCCCCAAAATCATTGACCAGAAAATTAGCAACTGGACAAAGGATGCTCCCCTCAAATTGTATAACACCCTACTCCAACTGCCCTGGAACTACAACTAGGGGAATGGAGGTTACTGAACTGCTTTTGAGTTGTTTTAATTTGTTGTCAGCTCTGTAGAGATCATCTGATTGAAAGGCACAAAAATGGCACCTAGTAGTCCCTTGGGTGTGGGGGCAGGGAGTTCCATAAACACAGTATCACTATCCCGCCCCCCAAAAAGTCTTTCCAGTTGCCAGCCTTCTAAGCTCCGAAGGCAGATCCAATGGAGCAGAATCTCTGAAATCGTTTTTAAAGGAATGGGCAAATTCATAAATGAGAGACTGTCAACTGGTTTCACACATTATGATAACCCATACACATGAGTTGAGTGGTTTCTCAATGAACCATGGGTAGCTGTTGAGATACGAGTTGTGTTGTTTGAATCCAGCCGTACTAACAAACCATGATGTTCCTGGTATGGGTTGTCATTATAAGCTAACCATTAGCATGACTGAGTTCACACAAAACAATAACACACATTTTAACAAAAACTCATTGTTTTAACGACAACCCATATTGAACCCATATTAAACCTTGAGTGAGGGTTGTCACATCATATGAACACAGCCACTGGGCTAGTTTCCATGATGATCAAACAGCTCAACTGTGGTTTATTTAAGGTGCATACCAGCAGTTCTTTTGAATATTTAATACTACACAGGGAGTTTAATACTATACTGTGCAGTTTATATAAAAGTTACATAATCCTCACATAACCTACAATGTTGGGTACTCAACAGCATTTTAACTCTTGCATAACTATGGGCCCTGGGTTTGCGCATGACAAAACTCAGCCAGGTATTGAATATACAAACCTTCAGCAGCCCAATGTAGCTTAAATAAGCCACGGAGGGCTCTTTTAAACATGTGCATTGGGTCAATGTCTTCTAGAAAATGCAAAAGATAAACAGAAAGACATACTTACTTTACTTGAACATGCAAACCCAGTTCCAAGAGCTGCCAGTATCTCAAGTACACCTGGAGTAGAATTACATTTTATGTTGTAAAAGGGCTTTATTGGTGCCATCACATTCTGCCAGTGAATATGTTGTTTAAGCAACTTTCCCAGATCACCAACAAAAAAAGTGTTTTTTCCGGTCTAGGAAGAACAAAACAAAAAACAAGGAAACTACAATTAGGCATTAAAAATTATAAAGGTATGATGAATAGTCAATGGCGTCACAGGGGATATTTTCCATTGTCCCACATTATTGACCCATGCACTTGGCCTCCATTTTCCCTAACCATACCATGAACTACAACCCACTTATGAGAATAGAATTGTGGCTGAAACATTTATAAACATTAAAGTGATTAGTGAAAATAAGGTGCTAAAACAGCTTACAAGAGTATGTTCATAAACATAGTTGTCAATGACATCTCCAACATTTACTCCTTCATCCAGCAAGCCAATGGAGTAGTTTGCATCCTCAAGAAGTCCTTTCATCTCAGCCGTATTCCGCAAAGCCGACAGTCATAAACCAAGAAACACAAGGGACGGGCCACAAAGCCTTAGAGCTGGGTCCTTAAATTATGCAACAAACTGTTTGACAGAAAAGATTTAAAAAAATCAATTGCTACAGCAGTGTCAGTTAAAAAACAAACAAACTTCATTTTTTTCTTTTGTTGCTCCCTTTGTTCTCATCAGGATATTATGAAAAGCACTAGATGAATTGTGCAAACAAAGTCCAGCAAAACCATATGGCAGAATCTTTCTGAGACTATACCATTTTGAAATATACAGAGGATCCCTGCATGTAACAAACTAGTACCGTGTGTGTGGGGGGGGGGGGGGAGAGACACATTCTAGCCTACCATTTCTACAATGTGTCAGTTTTCCACATGTATGAAATTCTTTTGTATAATGGATTTTGAAAAATGTAGTCTCTCCACCTCTGGTCTGACATTTCAGAGTCCCAGCAAGACTATTTTTCTCACCATGTACATTATTCCTTAAGTAGCCAATGCAGGTTTCTTACTAGGATACAGCAGACTTTATTTAAAGTTTCAACTACTCTGTTTTTAATACCTTAGTTTTAAAAGACTGAACTTAACGCAACCATATAGGGCTGGTTTGAATAATAATTTCCACTGACATAGACCACATAAGGTGCTTCTGTCGGACATCTTGATGACACCCCACAGCCTCCACACTCCACACATGCTTTCAGCTGGGTCCCTTACAGAAAAGTTTTTTGTGAAACTTGCAATTGCATAAGAACAAGCAAATCACTTTCACCCTGCAATCTGCTAGGGTTTTTCTGGATTCAACTCAATATATCTAGCTATCAAGGTTACCACCCGAGACTTGAATTACTCAGGTTCGTCACCAAAAGCTGAAAGAACACCATTTATACAAGGAAAACTTAAAGCCCTAAAGTCCACATAAGGGATGGGCAAAAAAACTTGTCCAGCTAACAACCACCACTTTTCCAATCTGTATGAACCACCAATAAGGTTTAGAGAATTTTAATTTATGTTCAACTCTTTCTGCCTCATATTTTCCAAAAGGATGAGGGGCAGTATATGCACACACCCAAGGCAGGACTTAAAAGAAAAAACTGGTTTCTGACCACAAGAGCTGTGTTCTTCAGTAATCAGCTGAGGAGACAGGAAGCAGAAAAGTTTTTAATGGGAATTTAAACATCCACCCAGACTAGCTGATTCTAATTACAACTCTGTTTCACATAAACTCATTATGTTTAATTGATTTTTTCCTCAATAAATCATTTTACAGCAGCACTCTGGGGCATGTATTAGTCAGCTAAGACACACAAACACAGCCCAAGCATGTCAAGGTGCTATAAGCTTAGGCACACCCAAATGCAAGTGTATTTGCTGGAGTTCTTTTATATGAGGTTGCTTGATATGTTTTAATTTACCAGTGATGACTAATCCAAAATATTTGTACACAGTATTTAGAGAACAGACTTTACTACAAAAAAAAAAGCTACACTCCACAACAAATATCAAGAGAAATAATGCAGGACAGCAGCATGAAGAAACCTTTAGATTGCCTTTAGGTTGAACAGCAATTCATAAGGCAGATGTTTGATGACTGAATTAATACAGAGAAATTAGAGAAGCTACTTTAAGCGACTGTAGAACTAGCAAAGTTTAGGAAAAGGAGAGATGAGCATTTCATTTCTTTGAAAGAATTATTCTGCCTTAAGAAATTAAAATAAAATTTTAATGGACATTTAGTTATTTTAGGTATTGCTTATTTATTAGATTTATATCCTTTCCTCTTCTTTTTTAAATAACTCCAAGTGGCTCACATCATTCTCCTGCTCTCAATGTTATCTGCCTAACAACAACCCTGTGAGGTAGGGTGGGCTGAGAGCCTGGCCAAAGTCACCCAGTTAGCTCCATGGCTAAGAAGGAACTAGAACTCAAATCACGTGAATCCCAGTTCTGCACTCTTAACCACTACACCACACTGGGTCTCATTTTAAACTCTTTTCAGTGTACTTTAACAAACTGTTAAGGAAGACTATCAGGCAGTTCCGAAGTTACAAACAACCCGTACTTACAAATGAACTGCCATAAAGCCTATTAATTATTTAAAAGTTACTGCAGAAAACAATCATTTCCATAGAGAGAAGGGAAGCAAAGGGGGAGAGAGGAAGACCTCCAAAGAATGCCCTTCCTACCCCAACCATCCAGAGAGGGATATCTCTTTGACATTTCCTTGCTGCAAAGAGAAGGCACTGGTGAACTTGAGTCGGGGGGGCGGGGGGTGTTTGCTGGAGATAGTCACAATTTTTCTACTTTCATGGGGGTGCTGGACCACTAACCCCAGTGAATGTGGAGGGACAATTATATGTGATTTAAATTACAAATTCAACTTAACAGATTTCTGTTTTCTCAGGAATGGAACTCATTCGTAATCCCCTGCCTGTACTTAACACTTCAGTTCTATGGTGACTGAAAAAAGCATTATCATCTAGAACAGAAAGGCAAGATTATGACTATTTTTATGAACATAGGCAGAATCCACAAATCCTCCTATGCCAACACAACTTTCCCCAGTGCCACTAAGCTATCTGAATTGATAAGAATCCTATGAAAGCATTTCAGGATATTTTGCAAAATCACTCCCTCTGTTCCTTGAAATGGTTTCCTTATCTGCATACAAAGCATCAAAACAACAGATACAGGCCTGATTCAGACGTTAACAGTCAAATGACCCAAATATTCTCTCTTGTTCCCTGCACAGAGATTCCCACCATCCCCTTTCTGGTTTGAGCCAAAGAAGCTTGCTGTGATGTTTGATTCAGACAAGCTCTGGTTTGTGTAAACTATAATTAACCTTCCAAACTCATTTCCCAAAAGTTTTCAACTGTGATTTTAAATTCAAACTTTTCCCAGCTGGGCAACACAGAAAACTATAGTTTCATCAGATCATGAAGAAATTACTGCAATTTGAACATGGGAAGAAAAGGAATGCAGAATGTGCAGATTCAAAATCTGTTCATAAAGGCAATGTTTCCTTGGATTTCTTGCAACAGCAAGAAAGGTGGTAAAGGCAATGCTGGTTGTTGTAATTACTACTACTTGTACATGGTTTAGCAAATTCATTTAAACCAGGTCAAAACCTTCCAGCTTCCTACTTAAAATATCTTTCTCCAAACTACCTAAAAACAAAAACAAAACAGCATAATTATATATAAACCTTACTTAAATTGGCATAATCTTTTTCAATACAAATTACATACTTTAACTTCTATCTAGCTCTGGATTTAGTTTATACTTCTTTTCTGTAATGCAACATTTGTGATTCATTACCATACTATCAAATTATCTATTACCTAATATTACATGTTCCAACTAGTTAGTTATTATTTCAGAAATGTTTCACCCAAATTAGTTCATATGAATAAAATGACACCTAAACATTATATGACTAATAAAATGTCATTAGCAAGTGCTGGTACAAGGCCAAGCCAGTTAAACCTGTGCTGATTCACATGAAATACAGTAGGAAGTCTACGTTCTATCCCTCTCCCTCTATAATTTTGAATGTGTTTAACTGGCACATTACTGAATTCTCTGAGGTTGAAAAGTTATTTGCAGTAGTTAAATAAACTACACCTATTTGCAAAAGTAAGTGGCATTGACACAGACATGCCTCGGAGGCTTATGTTCTGCAACTGAAGTGCTCAAAAATTTAGCAATCGTTATTTATCTATAATGTACCAAAAAGATTCAAGTTTCTTCAAACGTTCATTATCTTCCAATTAGTCCACCAATACACATTCTACCTGAATATAAGAGGTGGAAAGTTTGTTTTCATTCAAGGGAAAGCATCTTGCACTCCAGAGAAAGTTGATATGTAAGTCCATAGGACCACAGTTGCTGAGATAAATGCCAACATGCCTTCTTGAATTACATTCAAACTTCCACTAGTTTCCCTACTTATAATAATCAAAGATAAACAAATTCTAGCAGTCATACCTAAGATAACTAATAAACAAAAGTTCTAATTATGATTGCCCTTGTTTAGGTAACTGGAGCTCTCCAGCACACAACTGTAACAAAAAAAGCAGAAAAAGCTTACATGGACAAGTTAGGAGATGGAACCCTACTATCATCAGCTAGGTTCCCAAGGTGGCTCAGCGTTGAAGTCGAACTGTTCTCGATAAAGCACTTCTCCTAAACCCTCTGGATAGTTGTAAACCTGGTCAGAGAGTTTGCCCTGTTGAGAAAAAAATATATATATTAAATATTCATTAATGTTTTAAGAAATCCAGGACCACAGAACAAATATCAAAATACATCTATCCTAGTACATCAACTGTGCTTAACAAAATACTGAAACCTGAGGCTAGAGAGTCTACAATGGTCACTCAAAAACCAGTTTTCAGAAATAAATATTTAGCCAGACTCCCCACTAAGCTTTCAGGCTGCCTCAAATGCCAGCATACATCTTGATTCTTTCTGTTCCTTTCTGTGAACAATGACCCATCTCAAACATGTCTATTTCCCCCTTTCCTCAAGAGCAGCTCCTCACGCAAAATCTAACCTGAAATTTCCTTTTGTTTCAAAATACATACTGTGAAGATGGACAGAGAAAAGACTAAGACACACCCAGGTAACACAAAGTTTCTCAATTCAAAACTTTCTCAATCACAGTAAGCACTTAAATTTTAGTTAAAGCTGGAAAATAACAAACAACAGTTTTAAAAATAAAGCTCCATAGGTGATTTTCCTTTTCATGCATTCTAAGTTTTGAACTGTATTAAAAGAAATTGTTCCATGAGTGTGGATTTGAACATTTAAGGACTGTTCTATATTCACATACAAAGCCAATTTTAAATATCTCAAGCAAAAAGACAAATGCAGTTTTCAAATGTCACATACTAGAATGCAGATTCTCATTATTCAATTCTGAGGGCACCTGTATTGAGACTGCCTTCTTAGAGACTCATGACGAGTTTGAAAACAGACTGGGGAAGAGGTGAATTCAAAATCTATTAGAAAGAGCTTACAAAGAAATATAGGCTGAGCACTCTGCTTGTAGAAGAAACCTAAGATTCCTGGGCAGTTGCAGTTAATTGTCCAAGTCTGAGATCTCCTTTAGAAAAAATGTTTTAAAAAGTGGGAGTGGGGTGGGAGTGAGTAGATGCTGAAGGTACATTGCCTGCAAATCCAGACTAGTTAGCCTAAGCAGCAATGTGAGAAAGAGGCTGCTGGTCTCCCTGGTAATGCTGGGGGGAGGGGGGTAGCATCTTCCATTTGGGGGAACACAAACTTCTTCAGATTTCAATCTTGTAAAAATGGTGTTGTCTTTGCTGAGATAATCTGTAATGGCAGAAAACCTGCCCTAATTCAGGCACTATTACCAGTCTTCCCCTACAATCTGCAGCCACAAAATGCTAGGTAAATTCTATTCAAGTGGGAGGAGGAGAGACTTGAACAAGAACTCTGTACCAGTTTTCTTTGTTTAGAAAGGCATCCAAAGCAGAATCCTATGAAGATGAGTGTGAGCCTAAACTCAGAAGCTTACCCAATCCAGAGGAGTGGAGGAGACGATTGTCTTTCTGCACCAGCTACGATACAAGGGAGCAGGACAGCTCCAATTCTTAGTTCCAAAACTGAAGCCCTGCCACTGACCATGGAAGTGAGCATTCCAATGGCCCTCTGGAAATGTCTAAGTTCCTTTCATTGAATTGTCTCCTCAGTAATTTTAATATATGGAATTAATGATAATGATGAACACACTACCATATTATCTGCAGTCTGATGCATTTAAATTTAAAATTGAGGGCAGGAGCCTGAATTATTAAAATTGAAGATCTGCTATAAGGTGTAATATTTCCCAAAGGGAAATGAAAAGGTGTTGAAGTTCCAAATGAAAGATGTTCAGCAAGAATGTAGGTAATTTATCAGAATATCAATTTTTCTAACTACAGGCAATGGAAACACTTTTTTGTCAACAAAAAGGAGTTAGAAAGACAAATGGGTCACTTTTAGTGGGCTAATATCTGGACACTGTATTTGATTTTTTTTTTCTGTGATGTTTTAAAACTTTGGCTCAGATTACAAGCTAAGCTTTATCCACAATACTGCTTGAAACTAATGTTTATCAGCAACTAATACAAGAACTGAATGTAGAACACGTTTTTAATAAAAGCAAAAATAGTACCAATGACTGGGTTTACAGGATACAGCAACCATCATGGGCAACTAGTCATGGCAGCTTGTTCAGACAATTTCCCACTTGTTCTGGGGTAAATATCACATGGCTTCTTAAATAGTGAGTTTTTAAGATGTCTCTCCAAATCTGGGAGACATTCTATTGTGGGTTACAGAAATCAGTGAGCCACTCAGCAAGAGTGAGAAACAAACTTTGTTACTCTTGATGAGCTCACCTGTACGACCACCAGTTTATTTCCCTTCCATTTACTTCCCAGCCATGACATCTGTGTGTGCGCACATGTGTGCACCTATTTATTGCCTAGTGATGAAATCTGTGTACATTTCCCTGTCCTAAATGTCCATAACTTTCCCTAACACTTAAAAGTAGAGATTGCAGAATGGAATTGTGTGAGAGGTATCCCATTCACTCTAAGTGACTCTATTCACTCTGTTCAACCCAACCATCTTGTCAGGGGTTTTTTGACAACTGTCAAGGAAGTGCCTAGAAAAAGCACCACAAAAGAGTAACTTTAAGATCTCCCCTTTCAAGATTAGCAAGAGACTTGAGAAATAGGATGCAAGTGCCAGTGCAATACTTAAATCCCAGAGGATTACCTTGTTAAGGTAGAAATCTAAATCCCACCCCATTTTGGGGCACTTAAGTTTACCAGTTTACTCATACATTCCAAATAACAAGGCAACTGAAAGCTGTCAACTGTTTGCAATTTAGCCTTATGCCTTGCATTATTATTGGATTACCATTTGATGGCCGTAACTCTCAGGCAAGAATGCATATTTTTGGACAGTTGTAAAAACCTGTTCAACTGTGAAAAAACTGACAAAAATAAAAATTACAAAGACATTTACAAACATTTGTGCTACTCCAAAAATAGTTTTAGAAGGGCAACATGCCAATAATGTTTGCTGCATGAGGGCGCAACAAGCAGGCATGCCAGCTACCATTTCTGGTGACCAACCTTCTTCCTCTCTCACTGCTGTGTGTGTCAGCCATGGATGCAGAAGAATGGTGCTGTTTACTTAACACATGACTGATTCCTAACGAGCGCCCCCTGAATGCTGGGCACACTTGCCAGAAACTCAAACTCCGGGCTGCTGCAAAGCAAACCAGAGTCCAAGAAGCTGAAAACAGGGAATTTAACAGATTTTTGCACAAAATGGGTTCCTTGCACATCCCTCATCAATACACTGACCAAGTTTGTGTTGAGGCAGCAAAGACCACCAAGAACAGGGCTGTTATCTATGCTACAGGACAGTCCACATGCAACATATTAAGTCAACCAACTACCTCCAAGGAACACATGTGGGCAAAACCTGCTGAAGGTAGCTTACTGGGATAACTCAAGCTGTGTGAATAGCTAGAACCAGGGAACTCCCCCCCCCCCCCCGCCCCTTGCAAGAATGAATCTGAGGCATAAAAAGTATCTGAGGGAGAGGAAACAAGCCTGTCAAACAATTAAGGTCCTTTTTTGCTTAGGCCTTTCTCTGACTGCTAACTGAAGACTTTGACATCACCACTACCATGGCATTCAGAGAGTTTTTGTGGTAAGGCATCTAAAAGACCTATGGTGACAATTGATTATTTTCATTTTACATGTGTCCTTTCCAGAGTTACTGGTAAGATCATAAAGAAAGACTTCAGAAACCAATGTTAGGCAGCATCAAAATAACTAGTTTTATGCCTTACTGAAAGCCAGTCATTGCCAGTCTTCCAGGCCACCAATTAGATGCCCAGTGGCAATGCTTACTTTGACAATGGTACTATGCAAGGATGGCAAAAAAACTGGGGCAATCTGCAAACATACATAACAATTCCACCCTGTAAAATGTCAAGAGTTACCATCTTGTTTTCTCTGTGCCATGGGGCAATGAGTAATGAATCCTTCTATTCCATGGTGGTATGACAGTCTGGACAATCCTTGTCTTTTAGGGAAGCGGCTTATCTGTTAGTCTGAGTCCACAGACATACGATTTCTCTTCTCAGTTACTGCACTGAGCTTCACTGAATCTAGTTCTGGAAAGGTAGGTGTTCCCTTCTCACTTTTTATGATTTCTGCAAGACTCATCTGCTTAATGACTTCATGGATTGTCCTAGCCATCAGAGTAAGTCTACTTCCCCACCCTACTTAAAAAAATAAATAAAAATCCCAGGTATTTATGAAAATGGGAGAACTGGACTGCTTTCATGTCGCATTGCCAAGCCCAATAAAAGACTTTACTGGTCTATGCAGAATAAACCTCTGTAAAGGATTTCAGCTGATGTTTCCAAGAAGCCTTACAAGGAGTAAAAGATTAATTTGTTTGAAATACCCTTTGCCATCTGGCATGGAATTAGCCACACTCACTTCAAATGAATCCTATCATAGTCTTCAGAGGATTAGCCACACATTCTTTGTCTTTTGAATGTACTATGAAACTTAACGCCCACCTCAATTTCTAAAACTACAACAACTTCAAGAAGAATAGCCATACTAGTTTCAGGATAACAAATATAGGGTTGAATTTAGTTGTAGTGTTCTGTTGACAAAAGCAGTTACATCAGCAGAACCAGTATGGGATAAATCCCAAAAAGCCTTGAAAATTTTCTCATAGCACAGACTACAATAGAGGCAGGAGAGAAGGAGAAAGCCCAACTGCTGAAGGATTTGCCCTTGGTGCAATGCTGGATTTAGGTCACACATAACATATGTGTGACCATACAGCATCACAAGAAGTAATGGTAACACTCTATTCCACCTTAGTCAAATCTCATCTGGCTATTGTGTCCTGTTCCAGGCATTGTACTATAAGATTTTAACCAACAAATATCTGGTCTGTCATTTAGTATTATGTTTTAATATATTTAATTTATGGCTTTATTTGTTAATTCAGTGTTTTACCTTGTTAATTTGTAATGGCCTATGGCTAAATGCAATTGACTGACTTGCTGATAACAAATATGTCTAGAGAATGGCAATTTAAGTGGTAAGGGTCTGGAGGCCAAGTCTTATAAGAAAAGTTTGAAAAGGCTAGATACGTTCAGCCTGGGGAAAAGACAGTATGACAGCCATCTTCAAATATCTGAAATAATATATTCTAGATGGGGAAAAATGTAGGGCCTGAACAAATGGTCTCAAAATACAATACTATGCATGAAGAGCTACAACGCTTTGCAGCAAGCATTCATTCTCATTCTCTCTCTCTCTCTCTCTCTCTCTCTCTCTCTCTCTCAGACTTTTCCACATGTTGTTGTGTGGAACTGGAATGGAACTGGAATGGATTTAATTGGCATTGTTACCACTGCAGAGGCAAGATACTCAACACTGTGAATGTACAAAGTATTTTTACTGTGATACAAAAGGAAAGTGCCACAAAACTGCAAAATATTGCTAAGTCATGGGCTGCTTCAAAAAGTTTGGCAGACATTTTGTCATGCAAAAGCAAATTGGCATAAAACCAAAAGTATTATCTTTATTCATATATAAGATTCAGTTCTATAACTCAAAGCAATACTATGAAATATATTCTTTGTATACAGCTAGAAACAAAGATACACTTAAATATAAGCAGTGGAATTTGGGGGATGTGGGTTGAACTGGCAGAAAGTATTGTCCATATTTTTAAAACTCATGTTTTTACCCAAGCATAAACATCAGCTGCAGAAATAGCAGACTTTAAGAAGAAGAAAAAACAAATAAGGGCACAATTATATGCATATTTAGCTAAAGAAAAATGGTCCTAGGTAGATGATACTTGTTCATTGGAAATGCCAGATACGTTGTCGCCTTCTTTATACAACGCATATGCTCTATCATTGAGCTTGCAGCATTCTAATCTCTCAGCTTCTTCTGTACCCCATCTTAGCAGCACTAGCAATTACAATTATTCTGTTATATAAAATACCCTATTATTTGTAGGAATTCTACCGAGCTTACAATATGCTTCAGTGTTAATTAAAATATTACCAATTTAGTTGTAGTAATTCTTTTACATTTTTATATCACTAAATAACTTAATATTTTTGAATGACAGTATATGGAAAAGTTAAAAACAAAATCATGCCTGGAGAATAAAAATGTCTTTACCTGGTACCAGAAAGACCTAACACAGACAATCAGGCTAGCTTCCCAAGAGAAGCTATTGCAGAAAAAGCATGACTATCTGCTAGAAGATTGTCCTGCAAGGGGCATACCTGGTATAGCAGCCTGATAAAAGATGCTCCAGGACACTGCTCTTACCTGCACTCTAAGTGACACACAGATTTAGGAGCATTTCCAAACTACAACCTCAACCTTTAAGAGATGCAGCTCTCTTTAGCACAAAGTAAGTACCACTGGTGAGACAGGTCAATATGGGCCATGCACAAATAGTATCTACCTAAGTCTCACTTTATTGGCCCTCACCTATTACCCTGCCCAAGCAGATCAGCAGCCCCATCTGTATTGGAGGAAAAGACCATAGGTTCCATCTGCATATTGGTGACACTTCACTCCACATCTTGAGGTAAATTTCATGCAGATGTTGAAAAACCTGGAGGATAAAAGAGAGCCTTGAAGAATCCCACAATGCCACAGGGCAGAGCAATAAATCACCTACACCACCTACCACTCTTTATGAAGAATGGTAACTGCAGCTTACCTCCAGCATAAGAAACAATATGCCTCTCAGTACCAGTTGCTGGGTAACACGAGTGGAAGAATTTCATGTGCTACTTGTGAACTTCCTGTAGGCTTCTGATGGCCAGTGTAGGGCAAAAGTGCTGGATCAGACAAACCTTTGGCTTAATACCTTCTCTTCTTAAGGGTATCAGCCACAGGCACAAAAGCACTACAATGCAGTGTCCTCACAACCTAACAGCCTATCCAGAGAATCCTTGTACTAAAAGCTGATAGCTTTAACAGAAGCAACATGGCCATGCTCCTGCCCATCTTTCCTGTCACAGTATTTATTTAATTTAAAACATTTATACCCTTTCTATACCGAAGGCCTCAATACTGCCCATAGGACAATTAAGGCAGAATTCTATTCCAAAAAAAAAAACCAAACCAAACCAAACCAAAAACCAGATAGAAACTGATTTTTAGACACATTTCAATCTATCAAGAACACATGGAGTTGATCAGTGGTCACTCACTTAAGTACTTTGCCCACTAAAGACCTACAACAATATGTTATTATAATATTCATAAAAATAGCCATATGCACTATCCTATGGCCCTTAAACTTGTTAGTAAACAAGTATTTCACTTACTTTAGAAAGTGCTTCCAGTGAAAGAGTGACATTTTACAGTATTTAAATGCTATTATTTAAACAAGTATAAAATGTAGCAATAAGGGAAGGGGTTTCCCAGGAACTAGGAAGAATTAAAATTCAAAAACCATTTCTGCTGATTTCCCCCCACTAAAATCACATTTTAGTTTTGTGCACTAGTCCTCTGAGTTGTAGGACTAAGCACGCAAAGTCTGTGCATACTTACTTGTAAGTATGCCCCACAGGACTCAAAGAAATGTTGACTTCTGAGAAAATACGCATGAGATCTGTCTGAACAAAATGTGATTAATTTCAGCAGCCGCTGTAGGTCTACATACTTCTGATGATGCATTAAACTTTATTTTTGAAATAGCATTTATGCCAATAGAAAAAGCATGAATGAAATCATGTAGTCCTTTAAAAAAAACAAAACAGCACATTTTACAAAGTGACACGCAATTCTCAGAAGTCCTCCAAGACAGGCTATATCAGTTAAATAAATGTTACCTATTTACCAACTTTCAGGTATAGTTCTCAGGTCCTGAACCCAATAAGGAGTCTTTTTAAAATTATAATAATTTCTTGTGCAAATAAAATGTTCAGCAATTCTAATTTAGCAGACAGCCTCAAAAGATACTTAACAGAACTTTAGATATAAGTTAATGAAAATGTATGGAGGAGGAAAGTACTTGAAAATCTGTCTTGTCAAGAAACACCCTCATGAATTGATAGTAAGGTTGCCTCCTTACTATTCAAATTCACACCACAGGTATGTCAGATTCAAAAACTGTCTATCTCCTTTTCAGTTCCAAACTTTGCAAAAGATCAGCATTAAAGTTGTCCAGGTATCTTCCCCCACCCCCAGGTCATTTTTTCCCCTGAAGCTCCAAATTCTATTGTTATTAACAGTGAGGTGACTTTATTCACCATTTTCTATACAATTAAACTATTTTCAAGTACAATTGTGGCTTTCTTCCTTCATTTTAAGCTATATTTAATGCAATTATTTAATGTTCAATGCACCAGTTTTCTTAACCGAAGATAAGCTCTTAGCATTCTGAAGTCACAAAACTAAACACTGCCTTTGAACTGGAGACCAAAAAGGAGGCAGAGCAACCAGACCTTTCTGTATGTCTGAATTGACATTCTGCTATCATCGAGCCAAAGAAAAGAAATTCCATGGAATGCAACAGCCTCTAAAACTTTCCTGGTTATCTAATGTGCAATCCTAGCTGGAGCTGGTAAGGGTAAACTCCCCCACCACTCGCCATGCCTGTTGTGGGTGACAGAAGCTCCCTTACTATGCTGTAAGTGAACAGACAAGGGAAGGGAGGCATCTGGAGTGGGGGGGGGAATGCTGTGTTGCAAGCTGGAACAGCAATTGTTCACACCATGACAAGAAGCAAAGAACTAGACAGGACCAGTCCAGACTGGAATAGACCCTCCTCCCCTTTCACCATCACACTTTGCTGCAAAACTCTCTTAAGATGCCATCACCCATAGTGCAGAACTAGGGGAGAGCACTCATAGTTGGTACATTCCATGCATACATGGGGTGAAAGCACCATATCAAGAATGATCAAGTCAACATCATTATATGAATTACAAAGTTGAAGCAGAAAAGCCAGTTAGAGCTGCAAATGATAGCACTTCCTTCAGAAGAATGGGATACATACAATACTTGCTAGACTTGACTTATTTAAATTGATGTCAATTGGTTCTGGTGCCAAAGTTCTGAGATTATTGTGCATTTCAAAGAGAACAAGAGAGTGTGAGAACACTTTCCTTCCTTTTATGCAAAGCAGGACACCATGCCTTCACTAGCATTTCTGCTTATTTGAATAATTTATGCAGTTTAAGTATAGTGCAAACACAGCTGTACCATATTCTGGGAGGGACGTGATCCATTGAAGTACGCACTAGAGACCTATTAATTTTGTTATTAATCTCCAATTGCCCTGTTGGAGGGGGAATCAAAACAAAAAAATTTCCACCACAGATTCAAATGACAGGAAATATTAGAATAGGCATTCTAAATTGACATTATTTACTAATTATAACTACACAAATAAAAATTAGGGCAGGTCTTTTGGCATCTTAAAGACGAACAAGTTTATTATGGCATAAGCTTTGATATGCTATTTATACTGTAATAAATTAGCTTTTAAGGTGTCACAAGACTTATTTTTACCTCAACATAACAAACACTGCTACCCCTCTACAAATGTACACAAATAAAAGATGGCAGTTATTCTACATTAATGTGGTTAAAAGTATAGTTTCTGTGTGGCACTGAAGAGCTAAATTTTTGCCTCTCCTACATTTTCCTCACAAAAAGAAAGGAGGTGTTTGGCAAGCTGTATCCTGTCCAAGGGACTAAAAGCAACATTCATGTGATTTTCATTTTATCTTTACAACATGCACTCACAGCTTTGAAGTAGGTTAAGCTACAGAAACATGTATTTCCCAAAAAAAACAAATAGGAATCTGAAAGTGCATTTCTCAATCACTCCAGCCTCTACAGCATCGTGACTAACAAAAAGGTGCTTCCAAAAGTGTCACATCTCTAACCATTTTGAAATTACTAAAATTTTGAAATTTTCTTATGACCAAGCCAACTACCTTTACTTTTTGCATTTATAACCAAACCAACAAATTCTACACATATTCTAAAAGCTAAAGTTGCGACAAAAAGGCACAAATCACCACAAGTCCTGCCCAAAGAAGTCAAGCAAAGCATTGCTTGAATTTAGTGTTCAAGACCTTACATTAGGGTAATAAGAAAAAGTCTACTTGCTTATAACCACATCATGGATGTGTTACTTCTTTATACATTTTAGGCTGTAATCCTACACACTTACCTGGGGGTAAGTCACACTGAACTCAGTGCTACTTACTTCTGAATAGCTATGCATAGGATTGCTATTTTAACCATCTGCTCCTCAAACATCAGTATGCATTTTCTGTAGTCCTCCCTCCATACATGCATGGATACTGACTTCCACTGCTGCCTGCCTGTAGAGAACCAGAGGGCTCTATTTTCTCCAAATTAATGGGTTCAATTTAAGCTAAAGGATTTAGACTAAACATTTAAGAACTTTCTATGAGTTTACAAGCAAAGACTGAATGGCCACCAATTAGGAATGCTTTAAGAGGGATTTCTCCTATATTGGTAAGAAGTTGAATAAGATTACCTTTGAGTTTCCATCCAGCTCTACCTTTCTTTGTGGGTTCCACAGACTACTAAGAATATAAAAGTATGCACCCCAGACAGATTTAATAAATAACAAGGAGATGAGGTCTTGATTTACTGATTCCATTCCTTGGCAAGCCACTAGTAAGTGGAAAGAGCTAACTGTATGAATTTCAACTGAGCAATATAGAAAAACTGCAACTTCTTTGAAGAAAAGGCAAAAGGCAATACAGCTGATGTTCAATTACAAAGCCAACTACTATGCCACCAACAATCATAATATCAAGAATAGCCTAGCCACAAACAGATGTAAATTTCTCACAGCAGAATCACATCAGTTGGGTCTCATACGTGTGGATGACAACTGGCTTTTTCTTCCACTCTTTGTGGACACCTTATGTGGCATGTCTTCCTTTACTTTGATCACCTTGACATAAGCAGACAGTTTCAGGTGAGAGAGATATCCCTGCGTGGTTAAAATATCATCAACCACTCCTTGCTAAGACCTTCCAATGGTAAAAGGGAGGGCAGAATGATTGTGCAAGGCACAAGAGAAGGTGAATCCCTATAACATAATAGCCTCTAAACCCAGCTTCTACACACATTACTCTCTGAAACACGACGGGGGGGCGGGGGCGGAGCTCTGCCATGTCACCAGTTCTCCTTGCATCCCTTCATGGCTACAAAACGAGACCGCCCCGAGCCAAATCTCCCCAACTCCAGGGAGGCTTCCCTTATTGGGAGAAGATTCCTCCGGCAAAACACTCCCTCCCGCGGGCGCAGGGTGACAAGTGGAAAGGTGGAATAGCCGGCTTCCAGGGGACTGAACGCCGCGTCCCTTCACGGCGCTGGCCAGACAACAAGTCCTGCTTCCGCAGACGCCTCTGGCCTCCATTTCTTCACCACCACCACGACCACCCTTCCCCCACAGGCTCCACAACAACGCGTTAAACGACTGTTGCTCCTCACAGCTTATCACTGCGAAGTGACCCAATTCTACGGCAGCCTCCCACTCCCCTCCACAGAAATCCGCCATGTTAGAGGAGCCGCCGCCGAGCCCCTCTGCCATGTTCTCATCCGTGCGCTATGCCTCGGTTCCTACTAACCCTCTCCCTAACCCGCTTCCACCCCGCAAAGACTCAACCTACAAATCGAATAGAGGCGCCAGTCCCATACACAGCGGCCCCTTTCCCGCACACACGAGCGGCCGCCATGTTAGAACAGAAGCTACAACACCGCCCGCCCCACGCCGCCGCTTTCTCCCTCCCATACTCGTACCACTGACCTGTTCGGGTTGAAGCTCAGGTCCTCACCGCTCAAGTGTGCGGAGGAAGCGAGAAACGAAGACACAGAGCAGCAACCACACGTACTGGGAAACCCGAGAGCAACGTGCATACGGTCTCCATCCTGATTTCGTTACCGCCGTTGAAGAAGAGGAGAATATGCTGTGGGGGAACGGCGGGCTGCTGTCCTGGAGCGTCCCCCTCACGCTTCCTTAGCCTGCCTCTGGTGCCAAGAGCTCAGGAGCTCTCGCGGCCCCTCGAGGGAAAGACAGCGATCTATAAAGGCTTCTTTCCCTCGTTAATGGGAGAATTACTTAGCCCCCCCCCCCCCCCCGCACCAGCGACACACACGCGCCCGCGTCTAGACTCCTACGGCGGGGGGAAGCCTCTTGACTCGCTTCCCAACGATTCCAGACAACTCCCCGCGCAGGCAGCCGAGCCACATGACTCTTCCTTGCGCCTGCTTTGAGAAGAGCCGTAGGGTCACCCACACCGCCGATGTCGCTCCTCAGAACGGAGAAGGTGCCGGTGCCTCTTCCTCCTCACCCCAACCTTACGCTTCGCCCTGATCTCGGTATCTGGAGATCGCCGAGGCACCTGCCTTCCCCATCACACCTACCTCGCGGTGGAGGAAGGTTAATTGGGAGGAAGCTTTCCCTTCACTGCCGTGTTGGGGCCAAATTTCAGTGCCCAAGAAGCGTCCCCCGCCTCTCCTTCCAATGCGATTTACCACCAGCAATGAACCCCCCACGAATGATGATCATGATGATTGTATACTCACGTGGGACAACGGCCCGAAAGATTTGGTAAATCGTCTTCTCTTTTTAGGCGGAATTTTTAAAGAGTGATGTGGGAACCTACAGCAGAAATACAGGCGGCGGCAGCGGCGCCTTCCAGGGCCATAGGCTGCGGGGGCGACCAGCGAAAGAGCGCAAAGTTGCGCTAAGGCTGCGAAGCAGAAGCACAAACAATAAGCGAGACCGCGAGGAAAAAATGCGTTAAAAACCGGGAAGAGGTGAGGCAGCTGGGCGGCCAGGGGGACAGACGCGACACAACGAGCAAGACAACCGAGCAGCCAGGCGCAAGAAAACAGCAAAAGAAGAGGAAGAAGGGCCGCCGGCCGAGCTTTTATACGAAGGCTTGGGTATAGGAGGGGCTCGGCGCCACGCGTCACAAGCGTGCACGGAAGGAGGTGCCTTGCCTGCCCGTTTCCTCGGACCAAAGACGCCCTACCCTTGCCCGCTTCCTTCCTAGCGCAGATTCCTCAAAACAAGAAAACTATCGCGCATGTGCGCAGAACGAACACAGGCGCATAGGAAATACGATTGTTCTTGAAGTAGCGGTGCAGTCAGGGCTGGAGCTTGGGGGTAAAGTCCAAGGCGCCCCTCCCATCCAGATTACCACCCAAAGAGTAGCAGGTGCACGAGCAAATTCTTCTATTTCTGTACTCATGGTGTGCCACGATCTAAGTAAATTTAAAATACAAAAGTGTACGTGTTAGGAGTGATTTTAATAAAGCAAGGTTGGAAAGCAAGTTTGTTACTGTTGTTCTAAGATACCGTGAATGCAGACGCACTTTTAAGGCATGGAATGAGAGTGGAAGGGGAAAGAGAAATGTCGCCTCTGTGCCTCACTGAAGTAATACACATGGCTGCAGTGAAAGGAGCCCTCGTGAAAGAATTACATCTAGGATCTTAAATTAGCTAGCTGCTTCCTTGTTCTAAAGGTCCCAAACTAATCCTGAGGAGTAAAAGATGCTTCCCGCCATAAGTGAGCTTCAAAACTTGCTTAAAAACCAACAGTCCTCAGCTATCCAAAAAAACTATGGTCTTGATCACTGAACTTTGGCCTATTCTACCTGGGCTAGATTATGGAAGTAATAATAAAGAGAAGAATCTTACTGAGAGCCTGGGTGGTATGTGTTTCTTGCTCTCCCAATTAATAGCTGCTTGACAGGCTGAAGCCTAAGAGATGCAGCTTTCCACAGCACAGCATCTCTGTGGCAGAAAAGATTGTATGTTGATTGTCTATCAATTTAAGATGTTTGTCTTTTTTAAACTGCAATAATGTGCAATCAGAGAACACTTCAGTGCTTTAAGGAAACTTAAAGGGCTTTGGAGGGTACTTTAGGCAAGAAACTACCATGCAGGCAACTTCTGTAGTTTTAATTTTGCTTTTTGAAGAAGCCGCTCAAGTTGTCTAAATAGAGCAAAAAGCCCTCTCTAATGTATCTAGATTACACATCAATGGCAAAGTATAGCCTCTGGGAGGATTTTAGTTTTTGAAAATCAGTGTTTAGATATAAATGCTAGAAAAGGGAGGACCTCTTCTTACCTTCCAGGTCAAGACTAACAAATATCCAACTGAGTGATGGAATATGTGCAATACTCTTACTAATCTGAAGATTATGGTTGCAGGAGAAAAAAAACAAAACAAAGGGGACAGGTTTCTCCTGAAGACTATATATATCTGTCTCTGTCATCTGGTCAGGAGAGAGAAGCTGGCTGTTTCATTTGCCTTGGTTGTGTGCACATTCATGCAAGCACACACAAAGAGGCAACATTAACCTGAACACTGGGGACAAAACCAACATCCATCACTTCTATAGGAATTATTTAGAAGTAAGTGCTTGAGCCATGATCTTCATTGTTGTTTAATGGTGCAATCCTCGAAGCAGTTGGAGAAAGAGACAGTTATCAAAATAATAAAGTTCAACATGGGTTATGTTAAAACCTGCTTATTAGAAAGGCTGCTACTTTGTCATTGCCCTAGCCTTTATTATTCTTTTCCCATCAAATGAACCCCACAATTAAGTGTCCATCTTCCAAATACTCATCTTTTTCCAATTCATCAATAGCTGAGGGCCTTATCTTATTGAAGTCATTTGAAGAAAAGCGGTTCCATACATGGCTTTCATTGCACCATCATCCTGTCTTATTTGCAGAATTTTACAGGAATCTAGATAAAAGTGTCTTCCAACTTTCTAACCCTTGTATATTTCCCCACCACTTCTTCCATCTTTCTTCTTACTGTGGAAAACCTGTTAAGGAAAGAAAGATGGAAAAGCTGTGCAATGCCTTCTGATTGTTAGCACTAAGGACCCCTCCATCAAGAAGCACAGGAGGTCTCCTAACTGGAAAAGCAGCCTCAGAAGCTGCAGTTGTGAGAAGAGAGGGCTGCTTAATGCCTTTTCTTCCTGCTATTTGTGTACTCAAAATCTTCAAAACTGCTTTCCCACAGACAAGGGATTCTGTATCTTCTCCTCCATGGTGACAGAAGAAGCTGGGGAGGTGGGATTTTGAGCTGAAAAGGGAAGAGAGGTAAAGTTATGCATCTTTCTCAATTTAACCCTTACGCTTCTTTGCATTACATATCATTTTAAAAACATGTCAGGAGAGTGATTTATGCAACTTCAGTCTTAAATCTAACATGCCCACAAGATATTCTGCTATTCAACATAAGCAACATAGTCTTTTTTCCAGGTCACATGCTAGTCCTTTCCCAATATTTACAGAACTGACAACAGGAGAGAAGGAAAAGTTCAAGAACAAACATGTGTTACAACTTCCCAGTGGTAGCTATGGGTCAACTTAATACAAAAAAAGAAAGCACTGGTACATATTGTCCAATACTAACCATCCCACATGAAGTTTGAAACACTTACATAATACAGGGAAATGGGAAAGGAAAGTGTTTTCATCAGTTTAATTTGTACAACAGGGGGTGCATAATTTTGTAACAAGAGAAAAATAATAGGACACAGGATTACAAAACACCCATCTTGTATTGTGTAAGCATGAAATTAGCAATGTTCCATACATTCCAGAACTGAGTTGGGCTGCAAAATGGAAGTATCATTTTCAATATATATAATCCTGTGTAAACTGAATTATCATTGCATTGAATGAGGGAGTTATCCACAGACTTAGGAGAACCCTGAAGTTTGCAGAAGTATAAAAAAACCTTTAAGGATAAGACTATTGCAGGAGAAACATCAGAAAAAGCCTAATGAAGATTAAACATGCTCAGTGACTACAGAATGAATTAATTCAGCACAGACTTAAAAGTATAATTAAGATTAACTTTTATCTATAACATAGATTTATAACCTTAGTTCATTAAGTATGACTCTGACAAGAACATAAGAGATGTAATGTTGTTATAATTTGGTAATGTATGAGACTTAAGGGAATTAACCAAAATTCTGATCAGTACTTAATGAAAACAGCTGATTATCTGACTGATCAAAACCATCTGTCATCAACCAAGAGATAACTGCTGTATGCACCTTCTCTTGATAACCAGGCAGATCACACCCCTCCACAGACTTTTGGGTATATCAGGTGCTTTGGAGAGTAGACTCTTCTAACAATATAGTCTTATCCTGGAGTGTTGTACCAAAGTTCCACCAGCAACTGTACCACCAGAGCAAATCCTAATCCCAATGAAAACAGAACATCTTTGCAGATGTAGCTGGATCCCATGTTTGTGCAGGCATTATTTCAGCCAAAACTACACCGGCTGAAGGGAAGCTGCATGGAGCTGGAGGTGTGGTACAGAAGGAGTTAAGAGAAATTGTATCTAGTATAAGATGAAAGCAAATCTTCTTTTAGCCTTCACATAGACTCTGTATCAGGAATGGGCAAACTTTTTGGACCATGAGTACATTTAGCATGAGAAATTGTCCTGGGCAGAGCTATGAAAGGAGAGCCATATGGACCATGACAAAGGACACATCCAGATGACTGAGTACAAGTGAGAGATGAGCTGATCGCCAACACACCAGACAATATCTTTGAGCCCACTGTTTTTGGCACCAATAGATACCTATTTCATAGCACTCTCAGGTGCCAATAAGAAAGTATGTTAGTTTAAAATAATAAGCAGGAGGGATACTTGGTAGACACCAAAAAAGGTGTTGGTGGGAATTGCCAGGAAGTCTCAGATTAGCAGCCATGAGAATGTACACTCAGATCTACAGGGAGACACCTTCACCTCGAACCTCAGGAGTTTTACCAGTGAGAACAACGCAGGTTCTGCAGAGTATAAAACTACAACAGTGCTGCCGGGTAGAGGTACGCCACCAACTACAGGTTTCTAGCACTTATACAGAGTGCTTTATAGGCTTCTTGTCATGTAAAGACAGGAACAGGGCAGATGATAAGAAAATAATGGGCACATAATGTATTCATATACAAAACAATGTGAGAGATGTGCAGAGGGGACACCGAGAGAAATATCAGTGACTCAGAATATTGAGTAAGGTACATGAATCATTACAGGTCCTAAGTTTGAGTTTGCATATGTAAAAAGAGAGATTGTGATGCTGCTAGAAAAATCATTCTGACAACTTGGCACTGCTAGAAGAACAGGAACATTTTAACCTTTCTCCAGTGGCTGAATTGGGACCACAGGTTCCACATTCCACAGAGGATTAACTTTGCAACCTTTAATAACACTTGACCTTATACTGAAGATTAGCTTGATACTATGTATCAAAAGCCTGAGCCTGAATGAAACACCAGAATCGCTTTCAGGTATGTGAGATCAAGGCAAGATTCCCTTTCGGATTGGAAGGAGAGACTGGACTGAACAGTTTCTAGGCTTTTCTGGAAATGGAAGTTGGGCACTGTGCTTAAGACCAAACAGCATCCAAGGGACCCTTCTCTCTTTTTCCTATATGATTTATGTGGATTTCCCCAACAGTATCCATACCCACCAAATTGTCACCAGTTCTCTCTAGAGCAGGGATGGCCAAACTGATGCTTGCAAGCCACTTGTGGTTCTCTGAGTTTATTTTGAGGCTTTCAGAGGGGCCAAAAAGGTATGACACAACTTCTAACCTGAGCAGCCAAACCGATGTGTGAAAGGAGGGGCCGAGAAAGCTCGTGCAAACAAAAGCAGGCACAAAAATTCTGCAAGGAAAGACAAACACAACTCTTGACAACATATCAGCCAGATTTTCAACTACTCACAGCCAAGATGGAGACTCACAAGACCTCTACTAGCAGTAATTAACCTGATAATTGTAGCAATGTCTGTTTGGTCATAATAAATCAATAAATATTTGTTCCTGTCTTGTGGCTCTCAAACATCTGACATTTACCATATGCAGCTCTT